CAGAAGGATGCCGAAGACGTAAAAAAGTCCCAACAGAAGGTTGAGCTTGGCTGTCCTTTGCGGGATTTTGAGGAAACTTTGGCTCCGGAACTGCCGTTCCAGGGAAAACGCCATGGGCAGGGTGAGGAGAGGCAGAGCCATACTGACGGTGTAGCGGGTAGCCAGGACGCAGAAGATGAGGTAGGGCAGGAAGAGCAAGCTGTTGTAGAGGACGTAAGAGAGCGTGGGGCCGATGAGGATGGCCAGCGTGACAATGCCCGCCTGCCGGTCGGACTCCATGTCCCGGGTGTTGTTGCTGTGCAGGATGGCCTCCGTGCTGAGGGCCAAGGGCACGGCGTAGAGCAAGGGCGAGATGGACAGGTAGCCCACCTGGAGGGCGTAGGCGAACATCACAGCCAGGGGCCCAAAGGTGATTAGGATGACCACGTCACCCAGCGCAACGTACTTAAATCCGATGCCTGCAACAACGACAAGGAGGGGAAGTTAAATACCTCCAGCAGAGGAGATCTGGGCTTCTCCTGAGGCAGAAGGTTCCACGGACAAGGGCCGAGGACGCCACGGCCAACTCACCACGGGACAAGTCAATGGTGCATTCATCACTTCATTCGGTTTACTTTTATTAGTGGCAACCCACGTTTTCGTCCAAATTAACTCTTGTATTTCTGGATTGACTTTATTTTATCATTATTGGCCACGGTTCCCGTTGAAATTCATTTAACTTTCATTTGTTGAATTGTCCTGTGGCGAATTGTCTCATTCCATACTAACAAACAGCAGTTAAGAATCCCCTAATATTATATCAAAAACAGCTCTACAAGATTAGGGTCCTGGGATAACTAAGAACATGCTTGCTGGATCTGCTCCTGAGCCGACCCCCACCCCAAATCTTCCCTTCCCCGGGGCCTTTCCACGGAGGAAAATTCAATTCGCTGCCATAGAGGTGCCGTGGTGGCGCGGTGGTTAGAATGTAGTATTGCAGGCTGACTCTGCCTACTGCCAGCAGTTCGATGCTGACCGGTTCAAGATTGATTCAGCCTTCCATCCTTCCAAGGTCGGTAAAAGGAGGACCCAGATTGTTCGGGGAAACAGGCTGATTCTGTAAACCACTTAGAGAGATGGGTGTAAAGCACTGTGAAGTGGTATATAAGTCTAAGTGCTATTGGGCATGCTTTCCCTGCAGAAGATCCCAGATTAATGGCTCCTGCAGTTTAAAGATGAGCCTCTGTGGCACAGTGGTTAGAGTGCAGTACCGCAAGCTACTTCTGAAGCCAGCTGCCTACAATTTGGCAGTTCAAATCCCACCAGGCTCAAGGTTGATTCAGCCTTCCATCCTTGCGAGGTGGGTAAAAGGAGGACCCAGATTGTTGGGGGCCAGAGGCTGACTCTGTAAACCGCTTACGAAGGGCTATAACGCACTATAAAGCGGTATATAAGCTTTAGTGCTATTGCTATTAAAGCATTTCCAGGAAGAGGTGATGGGAAGGATCTCTCTGCTACTAGACTTGAGTGTAGAAGAACAGCCCTTAATGCTAAAGAGCTTCCTAGCAACTATTAAAGTCCTATCTGTATTCACAAAAACACAGAGAGAGCTCTGTGAAACACCAGCCTTCTAACCTGACTGTCATTTGTCCCTTTATTCATGGAAGCAGGATAAAATCAAGAGTAAGTCAATGTTGGTTCTTTTCCAACTTTGATTCGGACATACAGGCCATATAACTCAATTTCTGAGCCTGGTCTAAAATTTAAACTGGCAGCATTTAATGGGATGCAGATTCCCCGCCCCCCTTTCTCCTGTGTTCCACAGTGTGGAAGGGAGACCACACAGAAAAGCCCTGCTTACCTCCAGTATAGAGAAAAGAGCTGGAGAGCCCTCCGAAGTAAATCAAGGCCAGGTGTTCCAATTTGAGGGTGGAGAAACAATAGAGGCATGCTGCTGAAATGCAACCCAAAGTGTATAGGAAGACCCCAAATCGGACCACATCCTGAGGCTCCAAGATCTGATCCACCAGAGTCCGGTCATCGCTCTTCTTGTGGTCGATGCCCTTGGAAAAATCATAGTAGGTGTTCACGAGGTTGCCGGCTCCATGGACTGCCAGGACGGTGACGGCGCTGCCAACCAGAAGCCCCAGGTTGAGGGTGCCCTGGGAGCGGTAAGCCAGGGCACTCCCCAGGGCCACCGGGGTGAGAGAAGCACTGAAGCTCCAGGGACGCAGAGCCAGGACATAGGAGGTACATTTGTGTGGCCAGCTGTGGAATGGAGCTCTTTCGTCGGCTGTCTCGCTGTTCGGGAGGCTTTCGGTCCCAATGTTGATCTTCTCCGTCTCGTCTTCCATCTCCATGGCTGAGCACGCTCCTTTAAGGACAGGTGCTCACAGGTGACCTGAGGAAGGAAAGAAAGAAAAGTTTATGCAATGGCTAGTTTTTTTTAATGGTTTCCTCTTTCTTTTTCCTGGAAGATGCTTCCGGAGAGGAAAGAGACACTTAGTTGGCAAGGAAAAATTGGGCAAACCGGGTGAAAAAGAAAAGAGGAATGAGACTCTCCCCAGGTGAGGATATGCTTTTCAAAGTCCAGGGACTGATCTGAAAGAGCTAAGAGGGGAAAAAAACCAAAGGGAGCAAGTGGAAAAAATTAAGACAACTAAACTATTTAAAAAAAATGTTCAATTTCTATGCCGCCCATCCCAGTCAATGACTCTAGACAGGCATAGAAATAGAGATAGCTAACTAAATACCCAATTTAGCTAAAGAATTGCTGTAATATGTCTGAAACTGCAAATCCACAATGCAACTGATAGTAAGCCCTTAGCTGCTAAATGACTGTGTTAAATGATCAGTTTGGCAAGAGAGACAGTGAGAGAAAGAGAGAAAGAGAGAGAGAAAGAAAGGGAAGGAG